ACTGTCTCCAGGGTCAGACTAAGGGGGGAGAGGTGCAGTAGAATCCCACAGAGCTGCTCTGCTCAGGCCTTCAGGTCTCTACACCATCAGGACCTGTTGACTGATTTCCATCCAGTCTCTCCTGTTGCCTCTTTACTGACTTCTAGAGACAGACAGGTGGAAGGTGGAGGGAGCAGCACCACCTGCTGGTCTGGCTGATAACAAACTCAGAATAAATGGCAGAGGAGGGCAGGATGTCCGTGCAATTCGTTATTTATTTGTTTTGTTGCATTAATGTTATGGACCTGCCTTTGCTGTGACCTACATCTACTGTAATTAAACGAACAAAAGCATTTTATTATTTTCAGAAATCTGACCGATCTGGAAATAAATCCGGAAAAAAAACATGAGGGATTGCTGAAGAGTCAATGAGTCAATGCAATCAGCTGGTTTTCCTTAGATAGAAAACTTTGAATCAATCTGACTGGATGATCTGGTGAACTGGAAAGTGACCTGAGATGACATGATGTGAATTGGAGCTATAGAAATAAACTGAATAGAATTGAACTATTCACAGACTTGGATTATATTAAACTGAACTTCAGATATTCACCACTATTTGGTGCCATTTCCTCTTGCTTGGACTCGCAATGAATCCTGGGCTACCTACGGAGGATACAGCGGATGGACCTGTCTTTCAAATCGGGCAAAAAGAAAGACGCATTTATCAGTCGCCTAACGAGGACTCTTGGGATCTGACCAGACCTCGGCGCCGCGCTGTGACGTAATCGTCCAACAAATCTGGCCTTCAGAGGACGCAGCCTCTGGATTCTAACTCGGTATCTGAGTGGCAGCAGGTGGGGGTGGGGCTTAAATGTGCTTCCAAATGTTTACATTGTTTTACCAGCAGTATTGGCTTTGCCAGCCTGGAAGTTTTTTATTTGAAGCGTTAGTTTATTCATACCTGAACAGCTTATATCTCAGATTATTAGCATTTCTGCTTTTTAAAGTCTGAGCAGAAGGTGGAGACTCACAACTTTGAGTCCTTTAGAAAACCTTGGTGGACCTGCTGAGGCATCACTCTGATTGGTCCATCAGGTCCATCTCCACAGCCCATAAAAGGAGCACAATAGGTGTCCATAATAAAGCCTCTATGATGGACATCTATGATGAGCCCTTTAACCTCCCACTAGTGGGCCTGATTGGCCCCTCAGGGCCACCATAGCCTTGACTGCATTCATTTGAATGCTCATTGTGAATCTTTTAAATCTGAGCTTGTGAATGTTGGAAATCCTGTTGGCCACTGTAGAAATGTTCATAAATTATCATTTAATTTATTTAAAGAGTTAATGTTCTGTTTTAACCTCATATGAGTATAAAATGAATAATTCTGGAGTTTTATAGAGGCCGGCCTCTATTCTCATGCAATCCTGCCCTCACCCCCCCAACACACACACACACACACTGTTTCTCTCTTTTTTTTTTAAGGGGGGTAAGGGGGGGGCTCCCACCCTGCTTCCATCGCTGAAGATGGAGGCAGATTTCCCCCCTCCTGGTTTAGCAGAATCAAAAATTTTCAGGACCTTCTAACCGATTTCTGCTGCATGGATGAACTTTATGTGGTTAAATATGAATATTTAATGTTTCATTTAATGTTTAATGTTTTATTCCTGGATTTTTTCTCATGGATGGCGTTAATGAATCTGACTGGATAATTAGCTTCTGGTTAAGCAGTACCTCTGATCACCACCAGAGGCCGCCCTCCACATCCTCTCCGCTCCTCAAACATAAAAATCAGACACCTTGAAAGCTGAAGCTCAACAATTACAGAAAATAATTTTAATATCTTGAAGTTCACTGTGACACACATCCCCCCCCCCCCAACATAAAGGAACAAACCGCTACAAGGAACAATGCAGAGGAGTTGGCAGTGCAACTTTCAGCGAACCCGGGGGGGTTTAGCTCGGCTTGGATGGTCCACTACAACATTTATGGACTGAGGCATGGCAGATGGAGGGAAACCCACCCAGAGACCACTTATTACGACAATCATGGCAGCGTTCCCCTTCCTCACGTCCCCCAGAGGAAACCAGCACAGGCAGAGCGCTGCTACATCACTACGACATGGAAACAATCATTTTATTGGACTAACAACTAAACACACGTTGAAGAAAAAGAAAGCCAGCATCTGGTCGCCTCCGGTAGGTGAAGACTGGCTGCTTAGCGCCGCTGCTCGTCCATCTGTGCTGTGCTCCACTGGTAGGGCTCTGCAGGAGGAAGAGGAGGAAGACCTGCTTTAGAACATGCTGGTTCTGCAGAAAACCACCAAGATTAAAGAACATGCAATAACTCAGCTGACCTGCTTCTTCTTGGCTCCGTTTCCCCATCAGACCAACGAATGAGTTGATTTTATGTCCTTTGGACACAAAAAAAAGATTCAGTGATGATTTGATATTACTGTCTGAACTCCTTCACACTAATAACCAAATAAAGTCAATTAAATGACCCATAAATGTGTAATTTAAAAGGATCCAAACTTTTTAGAAGGAGCTCAGCAGAACTCAAGCTGAGGTGGTCAGGTTTACACCATCAGCACCAGGGCTGGCTGTTAATGGTCCCAACATGTTGATGCTAGAACCATCAGCCATGAATAACTCAGAGAACTAATGGAGGCTGCACCAGGGGCAGAGCTAGATGGGGGGGGCCAGGGCCACCCTCAGCCAATCATTGGCCACCCCTGCCATTATTTTCCTCTAATACAGACCGCACTAATACTCTGAAGTGGAATCTTCCAACTTATTTAACATTTTAATTTTTCATATATTAACAATTACTTGACAACAAAAACGCTGTGGTTAATTATGCACATTAATAAACTAACGTTAAAGATGATGAGTACAGGATACCTGCTCTTTTCAGAACTAGATTTTTTCTTATGGGGTAAAGAGAAAATGATGTCTTTGCCAGAGGCGTAGCCAGGAAATGATAGTAAGGGCGTCGGGGCAATAACCAATGTATGGTTTGCATGATGCAATACCAAGTCACAAACCTAAAAAAAAATATGTACCAGTTTAATCATTCAGCTATTTTCTGAGAATGTTTTATAAGAACAACTGTTTAAATGAACAAACATGTAAAAAAAAAGTAGACTAGATTCTATTATTTTCCATGTGAATCCCAGATTATTCATTCTTAATGTAAATCAGTCCTAGCTGTCTGTATCCATGCTGGCTCAGATCCTGACCTTTGAAAAAGGAGGCAGGAAAGCAGAATAAAGCCTTAGCCTCGCTGCATGCAGTTAGCCTCGCTGCATGCAGTTAGCCTCGCTGCACGCAGTTAGCCTCGCTGCACGCAGTTAGCCCTGCTGCATGCAGTTAGCCTCTCTGCAGGCAGTTAGCCTCGCTGCACGCAGTTAGCCTCGCTGCATGCAGTTAGCCTCTCTGCATGCAGTTAGCCTCTCTGCAGGCAGTTAGCCTCGCTGCACGCAGTTAGCCTCGCTGCATGCAGTTAGCCTCGCTGCACGCAGTTAGCCTCGCTGCATGCAGTTAGCCTAGCTACAGGCAGTTAGCCTCGCTGCAGGCAGTTAGCCTCTCTGCACGCAGTTAGCCTCGCTGCACGCAGTTAGCCTCGCTGCATGCAGTTAGCCTCGCTGCACGCAGTTAGCCTCGCTGCATGCAGTTAGCCTCGCTGCACGCAGTTAGCCTCGCTGCATGCAGTTAGCCTCGCTGCAGGCAGTTAGCCTCTCTGCACGCAGTTAGCCTCGCTGCATGCAGTTAACCTCGCTGCACGCAGTTAGCCTCGCTGCATGCAGTTAGCCTAGCTACAGGCAGTTAGCCTCGCTGCAGGCAGTTAGCCTCTCTGCACGCAGTTAGCCTCGCTGCATGCAGTTAGCCTCGCTGCACGCAGTTAGCCTCGCTGCATGCAGTTAGCCTAGCTACAGGCAGTTAGCCTCGCTGCAGGCAGTTAGCCTCTCTGCACACAGTTAGCCTCGCTGCAGGCAGTTAGCCTCTCTGCACGCAGTTAGCCTCGCTGCATGCAGTTAGCCTCGCTGCACGCAGTTAGCCTCGCTGCATGCAGTTAGCCTAGCTACAGGCAGTTAGCCTCGCTGCAGGCAGTTAGCCTCTCTGCACACAGTTAGCCTCGCTGCATGCAGTTAGCCTAGCCTCGGAGCTAAACCAGGTCCTGGAAAAGGACGGTTTTTGCACCACCTTTCTCCCCCTCTCCCCTGTGTCTTCCCCTCCTGTGACTCCACCTGTCAATCCACTGAGGCGGGAGGTGTTGAGCAAATACACTTCCTGTCTCTCCATACCTTAGTATTGCAGAGGAGCGACTGCAAACATCTGAATCATTGTCATTACTTACATATTTTTTCAATCATTCTGCATGAAATTAATATTTAAATCTAATAATATCTACATTAAATGTATTACTTGTTCTTAAACTAGTTATTTATCTCTGATTTAGCTGAAGACTCATTGCAAAGGGACAGTAGGAGATGAATTAGATTTTTTGAACAGATCCCAAATCAGCACCGTGGTTCTTCAGGCGGGTCTGTAAACTGTAATCGGTTCTTAGATAACTGAGTAAACAGCTGCGCTGCTGTTTGGAGGACAGCTGCAGCCCAACATGTCCTTGAGGACGTCGGTCCCCCGTAATGATGACTGACGTCCTGCTAAGTGGAATAAATTAGATGTATGCTCAGTCCTGCTCGCTCTGTTGCATCAGTGAGTCATTCAGAATCAGGGAAACCCCCTCCCCCGGATGCAGCCTTCATAAAAGAGCAATCCGTCGCTTAATTAAACCCTCAGATTGTTTGCACCCACACCGCCTGAACCACAGCAGTTAAATTCACTTCAATTAGTGAAGCTGTGGGTGAAACATGAGAGAAGCGCTTTTTATTCCCGCTGAGCAGATCTGAGGAGGCTGATCAGTCGCCATGGTCCATTTAGCCCTACAGAGATCAGCCACCTCCAGAATCCAGCTCCAACCTGGCAACCAGAGGGCCCTGATCAGCCCAGAGGCTGAGTCTAACACTCATTTCACTCTATTCACATTTCAGAAGTAAAAACACTCACTTTTCCGGGTGATCTGTGCGTTAGCTGTGGAAGGAAAGACACAAAAGATAAGATGAGGATGAAGAAGAGACAGTGTGTGTGTGTGTGGGGGGGGGGGTTCTCACCCATGGAGCGCTTCCCCATCAGCCCGATGAACTGGTGCGGCCGCGGCTTTCTCGTCATCCTCAGGAGGATTTCTCTGAATGGGTCGTTGGAGAGCCAGTCCTCCTGAGAAGAAAGAGAAGTAGAGTAATTTCTATTCAGAGGTTCAATTCTGGAATCAGTTGGAATCGGCTGGAATCAGTGCAGTGATTATCCTAAAAGAAATGCAGGCTTGATGATGCCTTCCTCTCTCTGCGCATCACAAACTGTAACCATCAGCAGGTTTGTCTATTTCGGTCTGAAGATCTATGTGTCTAATCTACATTAGTCTGGCTGGGCTGTGGACCCGGGGGCCACTAATGGCCGCACACTATGTTGGAATGATTTATTATGTTCCCATTCATCTGAAAATGGCCCCAGCCCGCAGTAAGATCTGAGGGAACAGAGGTTTGGCACATCTCCAGTTCACAAAGTCAAACTCAGGACAAGAAGCTGCTTCGTCGTTTTAAAGATTTAATTGATCTCAGTTCCAAACTCGATTCTTCGAGCTTTAAAATAATAATAATAATAATAATAATAAAATAAAACCGTTTCTTTGTCTCAGTCTGTGTCCCAAAATCTAAGATCTGATTAGAAAGAAATGCGTTAAGCTGCAGTTTCATTTTTCCTGCCAAAAATATGGATTTTTATTATTACACCTCTAATTGAAGGCTTTGTTTAAACTGTAGTTTTAGACAAATCCTGATAAATTAAAATGTCGAAAAAAAGGTCGGATAAAAAGCAGATGAGAAAAGCTGCTTTATGCGCAACTTTCCTGCAGGCGCTTCTTTTCAAATCAAACTAATCTGAGCGGATTATTTGCTTGGTTTAGACTCAGAAATCCAGATTTAAAAAGTTACAGAGGAAGCAGAAAATTGCTGAAATCCAGAGAAAAGTGAAAGATATAGCCGGGCTGCTTCTACCTGAACCTGGCTGCCGCTCGTCCAGTAATCTGCTGCTTCTTTCGGTTCTACTTGTTGGCACAAAACTTGAGCGTCGCCGATCAGCGCCATGATGAGCAGCGGGAAAAACAGGAGCTTCATGCTGCCGCGCGCTGTCAGAGGAACCGCAACACAAGCAGAGGAGCCGGACTGAACACTGACTTCAGCGCGCGCTGCTCTTCCTCTCAGATCTAAAGGCTTTAGTCCATAGCGCGCGCGCGTGCGTCAGAACGCAGTTTCCCGAAAGCTGTCCGCGCGCTCTGCTTCTGCAACTTCTTGTCGTCTCGTGCGCCCTCCTGTCCTCTTTATAGCGGCTCGGTGCGTTGCTTAGTAACGCAGTTCAAGTAATGGGATTACTCGCTACAGTCCGGCAGGAACGTGGCTGTCACGCGCCTTTATGTGATGGATGCAGGTCACTTCCTGCTCTTTGTTCTTCTGAACCTGTGCCGCTGTCAGGTGGAGGCGCGTGAGCAGCTGGAGATGTTTAGGATCATTTCTCTCCTGCTTTTAGGATTCACAATGTTTCAAACTTCGTTATTCTCTTTTTCCAACAAACTCATCATTTTTCTGGGATAAATCAAGTTTTCGTGTCTCTGTGGAGACCTGTCCAGGATGGCCCCCGCCTCTCACCCACGCGTGACCCTGGCAGAAGATGGATGCGTGATTCAATTGCCCAATCACCGTGAAGTTTGGGGCCAAACTGATGAGCAGACTTTCTAAGTTTGATCATGTTTCCTTCTGAATGCTGAAAGGCAGAAAGGTGCCCTCTGCTCAGCGTGACCGGAAGCTCCGGATGACGCACAGAACTTTCAATGCAGTTAAGCCTGAAAGCCAACCCCAATAAAAGGACATTTAGTCCACTTTGCTTTTCTGAGGTTCCCTCATTTGATCTGTTTAATAAAGTGGACATTATAGATGTCCAGAAAAAAACATTAAATGCAGTCATTAGGAAGAATGAGAAATTGTTTTATCTAAAGATGAGCTTCTCTTTAATTGAGCTATAAATAATTTGACCACAGGATGAGCTGGATAGTGCGGCAGGCAGGTCTACCTCTGGGGCCTGATGTGGGATGGATGGATGAACCTGGGGCCCCACAGACAGCAGTGACTCCAGGGGAATTTCTCAGGGGTCAGCATCCTCAGTGTTCCAGCTCTGCTGGGCCACGCTGTTCATTTTCTAATAAACACACAGGGAATGTCTTGGAAATATTTCACGTTTACCTCCTTAAATTTTCTCCAGATCAGTCAGATTTCTGAAAATGATAAGATGCTTTTGTTCGTTTAACTTTGAAAAACAAATTAAATAATTTTCCCTTTTTAGGATTGGTTGTTTTATTTTCCTGTGTTAAGCAAAAAGAAATGACAATAAAAACAAATAGAAATCAGATCATTTGATGAAGCTGAGCCCACGTCTGCTTTGAGTCCATGTGGATAGAGAGGCTGGAAGCTTGTTACATTTAACATTTTCATCAAAGAGTTCTGAGAACAGACCTGATGATGATAATGAGGATGAAGAGGATGATGATGATGGTGATGATGATGGTGATGATGAGGATGATGATGATGGTAATGATGATGGTGATGATGAGGATGATGATGATGCTGATGATGATGAGGATGAGGATGATGATGAGGATGATGATGAGGATGATGAGGATGATGATAATGAGGATGATGATGATGATGAGGATGATGATGATGATGATGACGATGATGATGATGAGGAAGATGATGGTGATGATGATTAGGATGATGAGGATGATGATGATGATGATGATGATGATGAGGATGACGATGGTGAGGATGATGAGGATAATGATGATGGTGATGAGGATGATGATGATGAGGATGATGATGTTAATGATGATGATGATGTTGATGATGAGGATGATGTTGATGATGATGATAAGGATGATGATGGTGATGATGGTGATGGTGATGAGGATGATGATGATTATGATGATGAGGATAATGATGATGGTGATGAGGATGATGGTGATGAGGACGATGGTGATGATGGTGATGAGGATTATGATAATGATGAGGATGATGATGATGAGGATGGTGATGGGGATGATGATGATGGTGATGAGGATGATGATGATGATGAAGAGGATGATGATGATAAGGATGGTGATGGGGATAATGATGATGGTGATGAGGATGATGATGATGAGGATGATGATGATGCAGATGATGATGATGGTGATGATGATGATGATGGTGATGAGGATGATGAGGATGATGATGATGAGTATGGTGATGGGGTTGATGATGATGAGGATGATGATGATGAGGATGGTGATGGGGTTGATGATGATGGCGATGAAGATGATGGTGATGAGGACGATGATGATGAGGATGGTGATGGGGATGATGATGATGAGGATGATGATGATGACGATGGTGATGGGGATAATGATGATGGTGATGAGGATGATGATGATGAGGATGGTGATGGGGATGATGATAATGGTGATGGTGATGATGATGATGATCCATGAATGCAGCAAACCAAAGAGAAGGCAGAACCTGCTGGGAGTCTCCAGCTTGGTCTCCAAACTAAAGGATCACTAATGATCGGAGGAAGTGAAGGTTTAATTCTTGGTAAATGTGTCATAAATGTTCTGCATTGAAAACAATCCTGAAGACTCAACACATTAAAACAGCATTTTAAGATCAATTTAATTTAATTAAATTTCAATTCAGTTTATTCTTATAGCACCAATTCACAAAACGTCATATCAAGGCACTTTACAGTTCACCAGGTCATCCAGTCAGATTGATTCAAAGTTTTCTATCTATATACCTATTTTCTTATAAGGAAAACCAGCTGATTCAATCAGCTCAGTGTGAGCGGCCATCTGCTGAGGCCCACTGGGGTTCAAGGAGACAGAAGCAGACATAGAAAAAGAAGCATAGATACAAAAGGCAACTGTCAACCAGCTCCACAGGCGGCCCCGTCCAGGAAACACACAGCCAGGCAGACGAGCTCCGAGCCAGCTCCCATGTCAGAGGATGAAGAGAGCACATCCAGTTAGTCACAGTCAGAGAAACAGGACTACACTGGAAAACAGGCCAAGCTCCAACATCTAGAAACAAGCACATCTGACCCCCACCAAGGGAGGAGGAGAGACAGCCCAGAGGAAGTCCCCCAGCTAACGCAACGCCAGAGCTCCTGGGAGCTGTGGGGACGAGTCGGCGGGCTCCGCAGGCAGCCAGTCACCCTGAAGTGAATCTGGCCCTGAGCCCCAGGTATCCGAGGCCCCAGCTGGGCCCCAGCCGGCCAGGCCCCACGGAGAAGCTGACAGTAATAAGCCAGTAGCCACCTGGGCATCCACCCCAAACCCCGAGCTCCACCCGTGCACCCGCGAGTGCCGACGCCAGCCACGAAGGGAGAGCAGGACGGGGGGAATGGGCTCTGCACTTAGCGGAGGCTTGAGATGTGCTTGGTAGAGGGGGCAGTTCAGACCCCAACCTGGGAGAGAGATTTAAAAAAAAAAATGTGGAAGAACATTCACACATGACACTCACATCTAATAATTCCAGGACCAAAGACCCGGCGGCACCGGTGGTTGGTCCCGGGACTATCGGTTGACCCAATAAGTGAACCTAAAATCCGGACGGGGGGGAAGGGAGCGGTGACACCGCCACACCAACCCATCTCATTTCTGCTTCGAGCCAGGCCCCCGACCCCACACTCGGATGAGACCACCCCCAGCAAAAGCCCCCCGGGATTGGTGCCCACATGGCCCTCACAGATACTCAACCAGAGCCCCCCTATCCCCTCTAACTAATTCACCCAGCCACTTCCTGCCCTATATTGCTACACGCCCCTCCCTCCATCCTCCTTTGGGGAGAGCAGAAGTGAGAGCGCCGCCACCGGCAGGCCACCCAGGCCCCGCAGCCGCCCCCCCTACCAAGACCACAGACCAGGTGGCTCGCTCTTCCTCCAGGCCCCAGACTCCGGGTGGCAGCCGGGGAACAGGGGTGTGAGAAGACCCCGATCCTCCCTGCGCCCGCTCTAATGTGGTGTTGTTGCGTGTTGCTCTCAGGTGTCATTAAAATTGGGAGTACCAAAAGGGGTGTCCACCACAGTCCACCCCCTACCGGGAGATAGGTGGTGCCAGCTCAATCCCCCCAATTGACAACCCAGAACCCCTACAAGGCCAAATGCGAGAGGGGGTTTAGACAACGCCAAACATAGATGTGTAATGTGAAAATGTTGTAGATGGAAGTGTCTAAAATGCAAATTAAAATTGGGGTAAGGGACGTCATCAGAAGGTGGGGCCCTCCAGTAATGACCCCCTCCCCAGGAACCTACATGTGTGGCAGTGTGATGGAGCAGGCAGAGGGAGGATTCAGGGGATGGGGAGCAAAGGGCTGGGGTGCCTACTGCACTCCCAGGGAGCCAGCTCCCCCGCTGACTCCAATAGGCACTCCCGTTCCCACAGAGCCCCACTGGAGAGGGGGGCCCCACCAGTCGCACCACCATAACCCGGGGGCCAGGGACCAGTGGCAGGGCCCACAAGCCAGCCGGCCAGCCCCCACCCCAGACAAAGCCCGTCCAGGGGACGGCATGGACCAGGACCCAATCAGGGAGCCAGACCCGAAGCCCTTCTAAAATCCTGCAGATGCTGTCTCAAGATTAATATGATCCAACAACAGATCTCTGTACTGATTGATGCTGAGTTTATCCTTACTTTTCCAATTCATGAGGATAGTTTTCTTTGCAATACATAACGCAGTGAAGGCCATGCAAACTGATTTTTTTCCATAGAGGTTCCCTCAAAGTCACCCAGCAAGCAAACTGAAGGGGGAAGTGAGATTTTACAACCCAGGCACAGTGATATATCCTTACATACCTGCACCCAGAACCTCTGAACCGGCGTTCAGAGACGATAGCTGGGCGGGAACATAGGATGACAAAAAATGGTCACAATCGTCTTCGGATCATAACCGGTTATTCCTCCAGAATTGATTTTGTCTCTGAAAACACTGTTTGGGCTCTGATAGGTTCTCAGCAGGTTCATAACACGTTCTCAGCATACCTCGACAGGTTTACAGCAATTTCATGGCATGATCACAGCAGATTGTCAGCAAGTTCTCCATAGGTGCTCGGCAGGGTTACAGCAGGTTCTCTGCAGGTTCATGGAATGTTCTCTATCTGTTCTCTGCAGGTTCATGGAGTGTTCTCTATCTGTTCTCAGCAGGTTCATGAAATGTTCTTTATCTGTTCTCTGCAGGTTCATGGAATGTTCTCTATCTGTTCTCTGCAGGTTCATGGAATGTTCTCTATCTGTTCTCTGCAGGTTCATGGAATGTTCTCTATCTGTT